TGGCTCCTGCTTGCCAGCCCGTTGACAGAGCCTGCAGCTAAAGATCCTAGCCTGCACAGCCAAGCCAGACCACAGCAAATAAAGCAAAGAGGAGGGATCACAGAGCTAGGATTACTTTCCACACTTCCCTGGAGAACCATTTTTCTCCAGACCCTTCAAGGCAAATCAAATGCATTGTTGTGTTAAAAACAAGTTACTCTTGGTTTGTTTAGGCTTTAATGATTTTGGTTATCAGAGGTTTTCAGGAGGACTTTGCTATGCAGCTCTGTAGTGTATTGAGGAGCTTAAGGAGACCTCCCGCCCCTTAATTCATACCTCCTGCTGGGTTGTTCTAGGCTCCTTCCCCGTTCCTCAAGATCTAGCAAATACATCAGCAAAGGAGAACAATGCACAGACCTGCACCACTCTGCAGGTCCCTGGCTTTTTGGGAAGTCGGCACCACACTGACTCATGGCAGCTGCTGTCAAAGCAGCAGTGTCCAAAGACAGGTCTGGAGGGATGCTGTGCTCTCCACTCCATTCATTACAGCGCTCAGACCCTGCAGCCTTGCAAGGTGGCAGGACCCGGACACACCACAGGTTTAGTGCGACAAGCGCGAACACACGCTTGCACCTTCCCTGCTCTTCCCAGCCAGGCATCTTCCACCACATGCGAGGGGCATGACTGTGCCAGAAAGGACAAGAGGGGATGCTGGAATGAACCCTCCATCTTTTCCTCCTGCTGAGGGGAGCTTGCTGGAATCTGGGCTGGGTCCTGGTGACTCCAGAAGCAAGGCCACGTTTTCATAGCTTCTTCCACCCAAAAAGTTTCCCCACTAAAAGCTTTATCTAGTGCCAATGCCTCTCCCCCTCCCCATGTCACAAAGGGGCTTCTCGTGGGGGCCCCACCACAGCTAATGGGATGTGAGGCTCTGGGACCACTGTCGAATGCTCCACACTTGGGGAAGGAAGGAGCAGAGACCTGAGCAGCTAGGTCTGATGCCTGATCAGCTGCAGTCCTCTTCACAGCCATCAGGCATGGGACCCTGAGACTTTTCTTTCTGCTCCTGTCTCAGCTGACATGCTACATGATGGCTTGTGGAGCATCAATACTACTGCCTGCTCCTGGCAATGATGCAGCTTGGAACATGGAGAGTAGCAGCAGCACGGGGAGAAATACCTGAGGGCTTCTGCTGTATCTGGACTCAAACAGAACTAATGGACTGGCCCCACTAGGTCTTCACTAGTCCTGGACCTCAGCCCTTGCCTAGCACTTTGTCCCAAAGCAGAGGGCATTCCTTCTGGATCTCCCCCTCTCATCATTCCCTGCTCCCACAGAATTGCTATTCCTCTGTAGTGGGCATTCGCTCTGGCAATGTCAATATTCATGCCAGACCTTGTTTCCTCAAAACTTGTACTGGTGCTGTTAGATAGAGGCAGGGATGTTGGACCATGCCCTTTTATCTGTTCCTCCCTCATCTGCCCATTGTTTTGTACCTCTGCAGCAGATTTATCCTCCATCTGGTCTGAGATCTGGGGATGCGACTAACTAGCAACTCATCCTCTCCTCCAGCTACTGGGCTTATCAGCTGGGAGAGACAGGGCTGGAGATACCCTCCTTTATCCTGCTCCTCTCACCCCAGGACAAAACCAGTTGCTGGGACCCATTTTGGCAGATGTTTGCTGAGACCATCACAGACACTGATCATGGCTACAGCTGAACATGGCCATTCATCCACCCTAGCACCATCATCCCCCAGGGCTTCCTATTATAGCTTAAAGCCCTCTGTACCATGCGGAGTTGGCACCCTTCCTCAACACACCTCTCCGGAGCTCAGCTTTCCAGTGCACAGCACCCATGAAAAGCTACCAGCTGCCCAGGCAGCACTTGTCTGGGGGTATCAGAGCCCCAGTTCATTTAGGGTGCAGTATATTGCTCTTGCTGCCTCTCATTCCTGGAAGGCATGAAGTTATACTGGCTGACTGCTTGCTCGAGAAGTGTGAAATTCTTTCTCTGACCTTTTCTGTTGTGTTATTAAAAGGTTTCATGGCCAGTTGTTTCAGAAAAAAAAAATAAAACATTTCAATATTTGTTGGTAGCTGGGGCAGAACTTGCCCATCTCTTCAGGATGAGCTCTGGCCACCTCCCCGCTTCACCCCAGCCTTGCTGAAGGAACGTGCCACTCTGTGGCCTCTCCAGCCAGGCTTTCTAATGCACAGCAGGGCCTGGGGTGGGGGAAAAGAGAAGTTCACATGGGGAGAGGCTACCAACAACTGCGGATCCCTGGGCAGCCTGCGCACCCCTCCGCTCAGCTGTTGGGGTGCATTGTACACCTAACTCCAGACTGCAAGGATATATGTTACAGGGCAGCCTGGAAGCTCTGAGTAAGGACCTCTTCATGCCAGTCTCTGCAAAAGCAAACAGAAGAGATCTCTGGCCTAAGGGGCTTATCAGGTGGATAAAGAGCACGGAGGCAGGAAGGCTGCCTTTGGGTGTACTGCAGGCTCCCTGCACAGGACAAAAGCTGTTCCTGTGAAGCCTGGACTCTCCAGATGTTCTCATGCAAGCAAATGACTACCGAATGTATATGATAAATGCCTTTCATGGATGGAATTAAACAGATGGATGAATGGACGGATGAATGGACAGACAGGAAGCGAAGGGAATGCAAAATAAAGAACAAAGAGCAGACAAAATCTTAGAGGGCAGAAAAGGCTGTGCCGTGCAAGGGAAGTAACTGAGATCTGCCTAGGAAGCCACACGAGTGGGTAAGAGGGCAGCTCTGGGCAAAAGGAAAGAGACAGAGAGCAGAAAGCAGGCAGTGGCACTGGATGCCTGCACTCTGGGTTGTTTTACAGTTGATTTATACGTGTAACAGGCAATGTTTCTCTGCTGTCACTGACATTAGGAGCTGAAATGCTGCAGAAGTGAGTGGCCATTTGTCACTGCAAATGAAGTCTGCTTGCTCTGGTTTTCGCCTTTTCATTTCCAGCTGGCCAATCAGAGGGCAGTGTGGAAGGGGTGGCAGTGAGGAGCACACTTACTCAGCAGGGTGGGATGGCTGCTCTTCCCAGGTCATGAAGGAAACCCCTTCCCCTCTCCAACACCCCTGCAGCCACGCACAGCAAAGGGTCTAGCAAGGGAGTGCTTGCTGGAAGGTGGGTAACCAGCCCAGGGTCTCCTGGCCTGCTGGGAGTAACTTCTCCAGCAATCTCTGCTTGCCTCGGCGCAGTGGTTTTAGCTGCTTGCCTCCATGCTGGGAATGAGCTGCAGGCTCGGCTCTGCTCTGCCCTGCCAGCTGTGCTTGGCCATTTCCAGCAGTGGCTGGCAGGAAGCCTCCTGCCATTCTTTGGCTACCGCTTGCCTAGCCCACACACTCCCCTGTTGATCCTGATCTCATAAGCCTCCTGATTTGTCCTTAGAACCCTGGAAATCCATTGCCCCTCAAAACACATGGCACAAAACCTGCACTTATCTGTACAAAAGGGCATTTTGCAGCACTGAGATCCCTAACCACTATTGGTGAATACCAATAAAGAGCTCCCAGGCAAGAGGAAAAGAAGGTAAAAAGAAAAGGAGGAATTTATTAGCAAGGAAGGCAGACTTTTTGTGTGTGGCACATGGGACAGTTGGAGAGGCACCATGCAGAAGGGCAGTGGCATGGAAGCAAGCAGAGGGCTGCATCTCGAAGTCAAGCAGCAGCAGCAGGAGGAGCTGGTACTTTAATGAGGGTTGTTAAAAGTTTGGGATCAGCTGGGAGGGCAATCTGGATTTCAGTGCTAATTGCCTCCATTCTGATTTATCATAGAAGATTCAACTCCTGGCATTTTGCGTTCACTCTGAAATGCTGGCATAGCTGGAAGTTCGGGAAAGAGAAAACACAGTAACAATCTCATTGTTTAGTGTCTGACGGCCTGACTAGCTAAACATCTGCTTGAAATATTAATAACTGTCAGATGGGAACAGCTCAGGGGCTCTATAGTTTCACACCATCTGTTTGTAAAGTAAACACACTTATACACAGGCGCACACACCCAACCCTTTTGTCAGGGCTTTTATTCTCTGGATTGGCATGTCTGTGTCAATGGGACACCAGGGGCTGTGTCCTGGGATAGCGAGGGGCATGGGGGAGACGGGAGGGCAGCCAGAGAAAAAGCCAAACAGATTCATGTATGACAAACCATAGCAGTAGTAATGCGCCCAAGGCCCAGCAGGGGTTTTGATGCAACCCCTACTTCATATTTTCTGTCCCAAAGGAGTTTTGCTTCTTATTGCTGTTCTTCAGCATAGGGATTTGTTCTGCTTGTTGCTATGCCCCACATTGGCACTGACCTCAACTGACATTGCCCTCATGCCCTGGGAAACATATCTTCTTCCAGGGATTTTGAGTGCTTCCACCAACCCACGCAGGAGGGACTAGCCCTATGGAAACACTCCTTGATCATTACCACCTCTGTCTACTGCACCACCATTCTGCTTTCAGCCATTCAATACCATGCTCTGCTCAATACATTCATTCTCCTCTTTTTCCATCCTTCAACCTTTTTTTGGCTCAATTGACCTCAATTTTGTTGAGGAAGATGATGCTTCTAAACAGGGCGGTGAGAAAACCCACACTGAAACATAAATATTGGGCATTTACTCTCACTGATAAAGTGACCGAGTTCAGTAGGCACTACAGCATCTTTTCCCATACAAGATGAGGCAGGGAGAGTCAGTGCATATGTGATGGGACACAAACTACGTACACAACTGAAATACTCATTGGATCCCATGTATTGAGGAGGAGGGAGAAGCAACACCATGTCTAGTAGGATCGGTATCTGCAGGACAAGCTGCTGTCTGCAGATAAGATGTTTAAGTGTAGGAATCTCCTCATGTTTCTGCTATACCTCACCCTACTGCCAGCATATCCCACCACTCCCTTACCAGGCTCCCCAGCCAATCTCTTGGACATGGGCACAGTGGAGCCACATTCATGCCAAGGTCTTTGCAGAGAGAGCCAGGATGCTCGTACTCACGTGGACCTGGAGGACGGTGGTGCCCACGGTGGCGTTCTCAAACAGGCTGACATTGTACAGGGCCTTGCTGAAAATGGGGCGATTGTCGTTCTCGTTGATGAGGTTAATCTTCACACGTGCGAAGCCAACATGGTCTGGAACGCTCTCATTTGCGAAGAGCTGGGCAGAGACAGGAGGCAAAGGGAGGGTTGGAGACATGATTTGCAATGCTTGGGAGAGCTATCTCTTCTTCTTCAGTGAGAAAACAATGCTCAACTGAGCTCCCTCACTAGATTATCCACCTCAGTGCTAACCACCAGAGCATAGACGCTTGAAACTCTGCTCAGCTCTGGGTGAGCCAGACACCCTGCCCCAGTCTCTGCCTGGGGAACCAGGACCTGCCACCCCACCACAGCCTGAAGAAAGGGTGAAAGGGTAGGAAGGCTTTTGCTCTTCTTCTTCCACCAGTGTTATGAGAGCCTCTCCGTCAGGATGTGTATACACATTGCTGGTGTGGTGTATACCGGCTTGGCCTTCCTTGTGAATTTATAGCTCAGGTAGAGAGCAAGGCAAAGCTGGAGCAGGAGGCTGGAGAGAGCTTTGGTGCCTCATAGATGTACCTTAAGTTTTATGCTCTATATAGCTTTTATGCTTTGTGACATAGCAAGGGGGAGCACCCTCTGCTTAAGCTCTGGCAGCTGTTTTCTTTACTATTATTTCCATTTTTGGCCATTTTGTGATGCTCCAAAGTTCTGTAGTGTGGATTACAGAGAGGAAGAGAGAAGCCTGGTTAACAGTCACTCTTAGAAACATGGACATCCCATAGAGCACAGGGGTGCAGCCTTACCGAAAATTCATAGCGAGGAATGGTCTCAAAGTCAAGTGGCACAGCCACACGGACGCGGATGTCTGCCTTCCCCTGGATGGAGGTTGGTGAGATGATGAAGTGGTTGGAGTTGTTGCCCACCAAGTAAACCTCAAAAACACTGTTGGGTCCCTGGGAAGGGAGACAGGAAGGTTAACAGTGACAAAGGAGAGAAGAACTGGCCCATCTTCAGGGTAAGGCTGCAGGCACCTGGGGCTTGCCCAGAGGAGAGCACAGGACAAAAGCACCAACCTGATGGCAAAGCCTGTGTATCAGCTGTGTATCTACCAATGCCCTCAGCTTGGCCACAACCGTTCGCCTTCAAACGTGTAAAAATACAATTACCAGAGATGCAGGGGAGCGATTCTCTGTTTGGGTTTGGTTAACTGAGCCACAGGGTTTGACACTGACCTTAAGCACTCTTTGCTGCATTTTATTATGCTTACTGGGTGTATAATGCATGCGATTTCTATAAATCTTCTTTTCATGTGCACCGGTTTTATACAAAATCCATGTGCACATGAAAGGAATGCATCCCTGGGATGAACCTGCAGAGCACACAGCTGGAAGGAAAATCTCTTCTACTGTCGCAAGATCCACAGATCGCACAGGCTATCACACAGTGGGATTTCATTGCCTTGCACTTGGGGCCACAGTGTGAGCACCTTTCTCCCAGTCAAAGGGCTATTTCCAGTAAGATAGCTCAAGCTGGGAATGGGAAATCTCCTGCTTTCCCAACACCTGGCCAGCAGAACAGTGGGACCACCAACATACCAAAACCAGCGCTTTAGGACCCTCGTTCTGGGCCTGGCACCACTTCCCAAAGCACTGCCCAGCAGAGCACATGAAAAGCAGGTTCAAAAGCTGCCAGAGCTGAATTTCCAATTTTCCCTGAGGGAATGACCTCCCTCCTATCAGAAAAAGGGACCAATTAAATGCACGAAGGGGCACTAATAGCAAAAGCTGGCCAAGTGTGACTACCAAGAGCCAGTGACATGAGCAGAATCCCTCCTTGCTCTCCTCCCTACACCTCCTAGCAGCCTGCAAAGCAGGGTGCAAGCTGAGCATCTCTAGCAGAGCCACACAGCAGGAGCAAGCTCCAAGGGCACCCACTGCCCAGGAGCCCAGCAATGCTCAACTGGTGCACAACAGGGGCGTGAACATCCCTCCAGGAGAATAAAACTGACCCGTCTTAGGGCAGACTTCACTCCTTCAAAAAGATGTTTTGCTGGCAAATGGAAGTACCAGTCCTGGCATGAGTGAGGCATGGCACTGGTACAGAGCCTGGGAGGGAGGGAGGAAGGGAGGTAGGGAGCAAGGATACGGAAAATGGCAAGAGGAAGGCATCACTCCCCCAGCCATTATTTGGTACCCTATCCTTAAAATGCCAATTTATAACAAAGAACCATTTTCCACCAGTGACAAAAAGCCAATCCATTGAGGAATTCCTGCTCAGACCCTTTGCTGAGAGCTTGGTGTCTCTCCCAGGGGCCGGTGCCCATCCTGCAGTACACAAAAGCACCTTTCGTGGTGGCAAAATGTGAGTGATTTTCTTGGAAGACGGAGAGGAAGCAACTTTGTTGGAGGCATGAGATAGAAGTTGAAACATCAAAAGAAATCTAAGTATTTGCTGGAAGAGAGCTGGGTGGATTAATTCCCCTCCAGCTGGGGAAAGAGATCAGCCTCTAGATACCCACCATTCCTAATTAGCAGCCCCTCGAGTACCTCAGTCTCCCCTTGTGAGAGGTCTGGAGAAGGGGAATACATCTGCCTCTTGGGAGAGCTGCTGCAGGTTGCCGTTTATATATTTATTCAGCTATTTATTTTTTTGTTTCTGCCCCCATGCTGCTTTCCTTACTCCTGGTTCCTGGAGACTGTGAGCACCCTGCGGATGGCTGAAAGCAAATCTGAATATTCAAGTTGTTATCAGCTGCCCAGCAGAAGGGGCTGGCTCAGCCCAGCTCACAGCTAGCACCCCCTGCTCCAGAGGAAGCCATGGGGAGCTGCTTGCATTTTCCTCACCCCTTGCTACCTGCTCCTGCCACCCAGAGCAAACAACGGATCTGAAATGTATTTGTGAAGAAGAAAAACAAGTGCTGTCTCCCCAGGCTCACAAAGGTCTTTGTATGCAGTTGTGGGCTTACAGCAGAGCATCATCTCATTGTGGTGGATTAGCACGGGATGCATGGGTGTGGTATCGACGCACAGTCTTCTTTATCGGCTTGTTTCCTTCCTCCAATCCCTTACCCACCAGCTCCTGTACTGCTTGAGTTTTTTCCCCATCACTGAAAACAAATCATCTCCTTTTCCTTCCTTCAGAGGCATAAATTAATGAGCAGCCTGCCAAAGCTTAGCAACCCTACAATAATAAACCCGTCTGCATGTACCCTCTATCCGAAACAAATTGAGCCATAAAGAAACAGGCTTCAGAGGGAACTTCGCTATTACACAAAGCTGGGACACAGCCTCTCTTTTCCAGCTCATCTCATCTCGTGCCAGTCCACAGGGCCAGCACTCACTGTGGCTTGAGGCTGCTGGCCGCTGCCTCCTTCCCAGCAATCACACCTCCTCCCAGCCATAGCCAGCATTGCAGCTGATGGAAATTTCATGTCAATGCAGCTAAAAGACAGTTGTAGCTGCAGTTGGGCATAATTATTACTTTGTTCTTTGTGTATGTATTCTTTGGAGCATGTAACAGGAGCTGCACTGTGTCCTGCTGCTGGGACATGAAGTTACAAGGTGCCACACAATGCCAGGATCAACCTCGTGCAAATAGCCAACTCCCAAAAAAGTGACCACTGACTGATCTACCCCAAATGCTTTGTATCTGAACAATTTGGGATGGGCCTGTTTGCCAGCCCCACATGCCCAGTATCCCTCTTAAATTCCAGGGGACTGGAGCAGAGGGGATACCATCCTTTGGCACAGCCAGCGTAGCACAGGCTGTCAAGGCAAGGGCAGAAGCTCAAATGTGAGGCTGTGACATGCCAGGAGGTGGGTACATGTGTCTCTTCAGAGGTCCCAGGCACTTACATGGGACCTGCTCATGCACCTCCCATAAATCATGGCCAAAATCTGCTCTCACAACCTTGCAAGGCACTCTCACAGGGCTCATGACAAATCAGGGAGCCCCTTCTCACATCAGGAGGCCAGAAACAGCCACATCAGCTGTTACAGCTTTGACTGAGGGTGGATCATAAGCTTTATCCCAGCTTTTTTACCCAGCATCACCTACTGGCTTCATCCATCAATCCTGCTCCCACCCAGCCTCTTCCTCAGGGGAGTGCGCATGGATATGCTTCAGAAGTTATTCAGCCTTCCACCAGTCAAAGCAAGCATTTAGCATCACTTACCAATAGTTACACAAAAAATAAAAGCAAAAAAGCAAGCCCCTAGACAAGCAAACAATCCTCCCTGAACTGTACCAACCCCTGGAATCACTGCGGTGCACAGGTTGGTGGCCTGCAATAATTTTCAGCACAAAGTGAGCTCGATTTGGGAAAAGCAGCCTGGAATCCTCAGTTCTCTTCATAGTGGCTCTGTAGAGGGCTGCCTTTGGCTCCCTTCACCCTAGCTCAGGTACAGCCTACTTTTCCAAAATGGTGAGCTTGCCTTTCTGAAGCACAAAATCCAGTGTAACTCCAGCTTTCCTTCCAGCCACTTTCTAGGCAAGGGATAGTACCTACAAAAAGCTGAGGAGTGTTTTATACCCCTCATTCTGGCAAGTTTGCAAAGAAGGGAAAAGTGCTGAGAATTCAGGAGTGGTAGAGGAAGAAAGGGGGCAGGGGGGGAAAGAGTTGGGTGGGCTTTTCTATAAAAGCAGTTAGTGCCTCTTCCTATGGCTTGGATACCTTAGCCTGTGGTTCTACCTAGTCAGAGATAAATAATGCTTAATCCTCCCCTTGAAAACACAAGGCATAAAGAGGGTTATTCTCGCCACCCACTTTAAAACATTTAACTCAAGTGCTTTGAATAGCCTCTCTGGAGTTGCCTGCCTCTCTCCCACTGCCCAGCCAGCCAGCCCAGACTCCCAGCACCCATTGCCCACCCAGCAACTGAGCACAACAGCATCAGTAATCATTTGAGGGCTCACTGGCCACAGGCCCTCTGCATCCCTAAGGACTTCATTGAAGCTGTGGATGATACAGGATGCCTGGAGCAAAATGCTCCCCAGCTATTCTGATCCTCCTCCCCCACAGTGGCAGCCGTTTTCTCCTGCCTTTCTGTCCATCCAAAAGTGTCAGTCCTTGCTCACTCCCCCCTCCTGGAGGAGTTTTCTCCTTCCCTACTCTCCCCAGGTTATCTGCTGAATTCCACACACGCCTGCACAGACGGGATCAATCCAAGGCTGCCTCGCCTTCAGCTTATCTCTGCTCCAAATGATTGATTTTCCCTCTTTAAAGGTAATTTGCTGGTGAATTCCATGTATTGCAAAAACCCCTGTGAAATCTAATTCAACACGACTGGCAGCTGGCACTTTTGGGAGAGAATACTTGAGCGCCGTCAATTCCCCTTTACAGTTCCTTGCTGTGTAGATCATATTTATAGTGCACGTGTCTGTCATATGCATATATATGCTACGGATGATTCATATATTGCACCTGCACACACATGGGGACATACGATATCCCTGTGCAGGCCTCTGATGCAGTTTTATGGGACAAATACAGTGTATTCCCACGGCCTGGATTTTCTTTCTTTAAATTCCCCATTTGTCTTACTCCATATGCTTATTTTGGAGAATTGTTTCAAAATTATTTTAAAATGTCAGCCCATCATACTCCTGCTTTATACAGCCTCTGCCCTTTTCTTCCTCTTCAGTCAACCGCGTCAGGGAAAATCAAGTGAAAGCCATGGCAGAAGAGCTGGCTTCTCTGACGTGCCCGGGGGAACTATGCTGCTGTTTCTCTTAATACACCCCTGTGAACCTTGCAGCGATAGGAAGCTCAAATAAGGAATACCCTGAAGGATGCCCTGATCCTTTTCCTGCATGGCCAAACCCTTGTCTTCACCCTAAAATACTGCATCAAGCCACCAGGCTTTAAGATACCACCATATCCAGAAAGGATACCCATGCATCCTACCTAACCCAGCCTTGGAGTAGATGAGCCTGAGCTTACTAGCCCTCTGGTAAGCAAAGCATTTCACTGCTTGGGTCTCTTGCTCTCAATTTGGAAACAAACCTTAATGCAGAAATGGATTCAAGGCTTGAACCTTCCATCTCACACACAGGATTTATTCTTCCCTGCTGATCTATCGCAACATGAATGAGAGGAGAATCCAATCCTAGTTGAGAGTGTATATGCATACTGGTTTTCTCTGGTGTCCAGTTGAGCATAGGCTCAGTCTAAATACTGGGAAACAGCCACAGATTTTCATAAACAGCCTTCAGTCATCTTTGGAAAGGTATTCAAGTGGTTTGCTGTCTATCTGACAAAGAGAGAAACTCAGCTACAGAGGTTAATGATTTTTTTCTTGGTTTATAGAAGGATGGGTCCAAAACCCTGTGCAAACACTGTGTACTAATTTCTCCTGTGTTCAAGTGTTTTTGATAAGCCGTAGAGAATGCAAAAAGAAAAACCAGCACACCTGGTTGAACACCTCTTGGCTGCACCCCAAATCCATGTCTGGGGTCATCTCAGCTCAACCTGGGTGCTGCTCCACATCCCACCCTGCACCCCCAAGACAGCTCCTCTTGGAGCAAAATCATGACTACGTTTGAGGCACAGCAGCTGGGATTTTGCAAGGGATAGACTCAGAGGAATGGGTTTCTTCTTGCAGGCAGCCCAATTCGGTACCTCATCTGAGACAATAATGCCTGCCAAGCTCCAGAAAGGCACTTAAACACAGAGGTAAATTCAAGCACATGCTTTCAAGCGTGGTCTTGTGTGCAATGTAAATACATTTTTAAGTGCTTAGATGAATTGTTTAATCTATCTCATTCAAAAAGCAATCATTTAAGTGTGTGCAAAACACACCAGAAGAAAGAAAGACCAACCCCTACCATTTAAAAAGGTCAAGTGGGTCTCGTTACAAAACTCCTTTTTTAATGGCTGTGGTACCCCATGCAGTGTTTTAAGGGCCAGGCTCACATGACACCTTTTCCCCCAGCTCTGTAAAGACACAACCAGGTTACAATGACAAGTAAGTTCATCAAAACCACCCAACCCTACAGAATCTGTAGGTGGGACAAGGTTCAGGCATGTGCTGCACCATCCAAGTAGGACCTCAACAAGCTGAAGTAACAGTGTCAAAATTTGCTGTAGGGGCCAGAATAAGGCTGAATGGCTTGGCTCAAGAAGGAAACCAACCTGCCAGGGACTCTCATAGGACTTTAAGACATAGATTGGGAGGCAGGAATCAAAACACAGGCAAAATTATCTTCCTGAAGACTCTAGCTTTGACTTCATGTGCCTCCATCCATCTGCTCTCATTTGTTTATTTAGCTGCTCTCCCTGGAGACATATGTAATGCTCTTCTTGTTTTCCTTTGCCCCTTACAAAAATGAATCATGTCATCTCTAGCATGAAGGCCATGCTGACAAAATAGCTCTGTCAGCCATGTCCTCAGTCACATCCCTGCCTGAAGTTGTTGCTGTCCCATCCCTCTACTCCTGCACCAACAGAAAGCCAAGAAAGCCTGGCACCATCTTGGCTACTTCAAATCCAGATGGTTTGCAAAAGCCTCGCAATTTTCATGGGGTACTTGAGCATTCAAAATGTCACTGTAAGGCAACTCTCTTCCCTTTCTGTAAGTTTTTTACTGAAAGTTTTGGGGTTTTGGACTTCCGTAAATACACTGCCTGGGAAGCAGTGCTACAATAAGCCTGGCTACAGATGCAGTCCCATTCCTGTCTCATATTCACGACCTGACTCTCTTTTTCATGACCTGGGTAGGCTGTCCCAATTCCCCCCCCCCGAATGCTACCTGGATGGTTTATCCCATTGCAAGCATCCACAAGAGGAAATAATAAAGATACACCATTGGAAAATAAACAAAAAACCAAGGAACAATTGCTTGTAACTTTCCTCCCTCCAGATATTTCAAGACATCAGCTCTCCTGTGCTTCTTATCAGTGAAAATAATGCTATGGTTAAATGAATCCATGCTAATATGACAGTCTCCAAAGACCTGTACAGTAAAACCCCTTCAGACTCCCTTAGCACAAGAGGTCGTCCCTCAGCAGTTTTAAAAATCTCAGCCAATTCTTGTGGGGAAATCTCAGGAACTTAAAAGAAATACATCACAAGAATGAGTCTATTTTTTGCTGGTGTGATCGGGAAGGCAAGGCTATTTTTTATTCTCCCATTTTAAAATTAGCAAGGCTGAAAAGTGAATTCTTGAATGGGAGTCACTCCAGTAAAATGAGCTTTTAACCAGAAATAATGACAGATCCTTCATCCTTCTGGCACAAACAGAAGTGTTACAATGCCCTTCAAGAACGGATCTGCTGACATCTCTCAGAAAGCACGACAGCAGCTCTATTCAGAAACTATCCTAAGCATCTGTCATATCCATATCTTCTTTATTAGCAATTGACATATTCAAGAAAAAACAGTCTCTTTATCTGCTTAATACCTCATCTGCACCTCTTCAGGCTGAACTCATAACTCTTGGATGGTGACATCATGTCACAAGTAGATTATTAGTTCTGTGTCATAATCACTTCCCGTGAAAAAAAAACGGGGTTTCTGGATGGCTTTACGAGATGTGGAGAACTCCACCCAGGCCTGGGGAAAAGCAAATCCATCATCTCAACCAGCAAAGGTGCCTTAGAAAATGCACAGTTTAACTGACCCACCAGGGTTTGTTGGGGGTGAGGAGACAGATTCTGTTTCATATTCACTGGTACTATCACATCATTTCCCTGAATCATCAGGAAAACATCCTGATGATGCCATTTGTTCTGACAGACCCTCTCCCCTCATCTCTCACTTGGGATGGCACAGAGCTTTTCCAAGGGATTTTGGAAAACTCACCATGTGGTGTCAGCACTGGTTTGAAGCAGACACCGCACAGTGTGGAAGGGTTGGAGGGTACTGGCACACAGAAGCAGCCAGGCGTGAATTGCACAAGTCAAATAATCAGAGTAATTGAAGGCTGCAAGCCCAAGGCTGGAAAACATGCTGCAATCCCTACATGGATGGCATGGACCGGCGTGTAACAAATAGAAGCTCCATTAACACGAGGGAGGAACAAGCCTCCAGCACTCTTGCCTCTTTTGCAGTGATGTACTGCTATCCCAGAGTCCCCCACACTTCCTCCAGCCCCAAGATAGCAGGTATCTCTGAATTTCTTATCCCAGGTCACAGCAGTACCCATCCCTGCCAGAGCAGAGCCTGGAGGTTCCGTCTTTCCCCTCCCGTGGGAGCCCACCAGAAAACCTTATCCCTTTCTAAAACAGACTGGCAAAAGACTGCCCAACAAGAGTCCTCAGAAGCAGGCAAGAATCATCATCCCAAACAATCCCATTTTCTGGCTTTCAGTGACCGTGCAATCCTGACTGCATTGAAGCACATACCATGCCTGCTCTCTGGGAAGGGCATCTACCTGCACTCAGCATACTGAGCAAGCAGACCAATGGCAGCAGTAAGAGCTGAAAAAAATGGTTATCAGGACATAACCATGCACCTCATTACAAGTTCGTCAGTGGCTTATCCTTTACTGCACCCCCAAACCCCACATGAGTGCTACCCTACAAAGAATGGACAGAAGTGCCCACAGCAGGGGACAGCTCACCTCATCTTTATCCTGCACCTGGATGAAGAGCGGAAGGGCAAAGCCCACCTGGGCCAACTCTGGGATGGCCACACTGTACTCCGAGCTGTTGAACTCAGGCGCATTGTCATTGATGTCGATGACTAGGATGTTGAAGGTGGTGGTGACAGTGGCGTTGGAGGGTGTGCGGTCATCGTTCAGCTCTGTTGCCTGCAAGGAGAGAAAACAACAGAGCAGCCTTTATTTTTCAAAGAATAAATGTAATAGGAAGTGTGCACACTGTGATTAGAGACTCTTGCAGCTTTTGCTTCCTCTCCTTTGCCAAGAAAGTATGCTTAGCTGGTTGAGCCATTGCCCCTTAACCTTAAGCAGCTTTTCACAGTGCTGACCCATTAACACGTAGATATTGACCCAGTTCTTCCATCAGCCATGTTTCAGACCCATAGTACTGTTGCAAACCTTCCGAGGGGCTTAACATTTCCCTTAAGATGGCTGTGGCCAAGTTCTCACTTGCCCCCACCATGCAACAGGTTGTTGGGACTCAGAGTCACGCTAGGGGATGAGTAGGCAATTCTCCTGCCCCAAGCATTTGAACAAAAAAAGAAGTTGCCTTTTGAGATGTTTGGGGCAGTCCTCAAAGGAAGGGAAGCCACGATGGAGAAAAGAGTACTCCTATTTTCTTCTCTGCCGTCTCCTGGGGTGAAACCAGGAGCAGGGAACTAACCCACCATAGTACTACTGAAGGGAGAGAAAACTAGGGCAACAGAAGAAAACAAGATTTAGACCTTAAAATAGGTTTGGCAACACGTGTCTAAATACAGAGCTGAGTCATGACTCCAAATCACACCTCTGTCTTAAGAAAGACTTTAATTTCGCTTTCCCAAAAGGAAAGAGTGCAGATTTTGTTGCCAGAGAAGCAAGACTTGTGAATCAGCCTTTTCAAGCAGAGTCCCTCCTCTTGTCCTTTGGATAATCTTGCTTTGCTGTGGGCACAGAAAAGCAGCGCTAACACGACCCACATGGCTCATTGCTATTCACTGCTTCTGCACACAACAGCAGAACAGGCTGATCCGAACAAGGAGCAATCCAGCTGTATTTTCCCTGCGTGCTCCAGGACAAGAGCAGCAGAGAACATTTTGGGTCCTGGGGGTGCAGGACGCAGAGTTGGCGTTTGCAGGAAGATGCAGAGTTTGTGGAGAGAGGAAATAAAAATCCATCGGATCAACAGAATATAGCTGGAACGCCATTATCATGCAGGCAGGAAAACGGGCAATTTTTCAGATTCACGAATCTTTCTAAAATTAAGCTGATATTTTGTCCTTGTTAAAACCAGACAACCCTCCCTCTTTGATCTTTGATTTCTATTGAATTGATACTATAAAAGCCCAAACCAAGACACAGCAGGGATGGGTGCATAAAGACATGCATAAAGCCCCACATTATAACCTGTGTCTGGGACTTAGAGGGGTAACTTCTTGTCCCATTGCACCCCTGACAAAGCATTGTACTTGCCAAAATGAGAATGTGACTCGATGGCTCCTGCCCTCCCAATCAATAACCCTTCCTACAATGCTGATTTTTCCCCACACCAGCCCAGAACAATCTATACTGCTAAATGTGTTACTAACCAGCTGCCCAGATGGTATGGATTTTAAGTGCAGGGCTGTGAGCAGGGAGCTGTTCTCAGGTGGGGCTGGTAGGGCTGGAAGAGCATGCTCCAGAGCCTTTTCTTGAGGCAGCTTTCAGCATCACTACCTTGCCATGCCATTCTGTGCTGGGCAGTTGCAGATGGTGCCCTGTTATACCTCTGTCCACTGACTTGACAAAATATAACTGTTTTTCCATGGGTCTGGGGAAGACAGGTGGGAAACAGGCATAGCAGGCACAATCCAGGTGCATGAATGTAGGTGTCTCATACGATTTGCAATCCCAAGGCAACTGCCTGCTGCCAGCAGATACAATCGCAGGCAAATCTAGTTGAAGACTAGGCTGGGCACCAAACATTACCTTATTCATCTGTATAGAGGCAACCACATTTTGGGCCACCTTACAGGGGGGGCTGTGTTAAACATCTCGCTTGGCTTGGCCAGGGAATAGCTTATCATGGCTCTAGATGCCCACAGGAGCAACATGTCCCAGTTTTGTACCTCCACCTCAAAGGAGTTGTCCCCAGGCAGGATGACCTCCCCATCCTGCTCTGCCAGTCTGCTTCCCAGATGATGGAGGTCTCACCTTCACTGTGAGGATGAACCCAGCAGTATAGAAGGGGTTTTCCCGGTCCAGCAGCCCATTCAGGGTTAAGGCCCCGCTGATGTAGTCCAGTGCAAAGATGCTGTTGGTGTTACCTGAGGAAAGTAACAGGCAGTATGAGCAGAAGCGGCTGGTACAGCTGATGCTAAATGGTGCTGTGGGTAACACAGACAGGGAAGTGAGAGGACACAAGCTTCTTCCCCTGACAGTCTCCATGCACAACTAGACCTGGTTTTTGAGAGGTTCTACAGAGCAGATCTGTTGCCAGGCCAGGAGCTCCAAGCTGGGCACAGGCTGGTCTCTGCAAATCCTGCATATTATCTCAATGTGCTTTAAACTGTCGTGGCTGTAATGGTCCCCTCCTCCTCTCACGTGCCCCAGCTCAGGGCTCAAAACAGTGCTTTCCCTCCAACAGCCAGTAATGTTGTGAATGCTGCAGACAGATGAAGAATTTCAAGAGGGTTTGGTTATTAAAATATGCAAGAGCACAGCCAAAAACACGGCCAAATCCAGGTACTCCCCTCTGAACAACTGCCTGCATTCTCAGGGCACCATGCCCCTGAGGTGGGCATGGCCTCTTTCTTAAAATATAAGAGTCAGGGGACATCAGTCCAGATTAATCAGAGGAAGGTGCAGACAGACTAAGCTCAAAAGTATCAGCATCACATAACAAGAGGTATTTTAACTGTGGGACCTCTTGCCAGAGGATAGTGAAGATGATGGAAGTCCACAAGTATTCAAGGAGAGACTGGGGAGCTGATGAAAGGAAAAAAACCATCTATCAAAGAACAGAAAAGCCACACACAGCTCAGGAATTCTCTTAGCTGGACATATTTGAGCCAGGGAGAATATTAGGGTAAGTATTGTAAGCACTTGCCCTGCTCTTATACTCTTGACAGAGGTGTTGACCCCATGCAGTTGCCTTGTTTCCCTCTGCCTGAGCCAAATTTGACTACTAAGCTGGTCTTCACATGAAAGCAACCACACAAGATGCCATGGAGCTCTGTGCTGCACCCTATCCTCAGCTTGACTCCTACTCTGGAATTAGGCACCCAGAGAGGATTAAGACAACACTCGAGTGTCACAGCCAGCAGATGCTAAAAAGACAAGCATCCCGCACTGGGAATGTTATTGTATCAGTCCCGGGTGCTCTCTCTGTCAGGCAGACAAAAGAAAGCAGTTGGTGTGTGGAGCCTGGGATACCTGATGCTGTGCCAAGCCCGACACAATACCAGAGGAGGCTGTTGGCTGTTGAATTAGTGATGACCAAGGAGGTTATATACAGGCATATGGTCACCCACACCACTCCCTTCATCATCTCAAGGTATGCAGAAACCCTTAATCCAGCCCCAGATGGGAACAAGGAAACCCTGCAGGTATGCTATATTCATCCCAGTCAAAACTAAAAAAATCCCTGTCTTCTCAATATATCTCAGCATGAAGGAAACACACATAACATTTGTCATTTCCCTGGAAGGGAGCTTTGAGACAGATCTGCTGTCGCAGAAAGTTGTTTCCATCAGTCAGCATCCACCTCACTCCCTTACTATCCCCTGTTTAACCACAGCTGCACCTTTTATGCGACGGCCAAAGCCTCCATGTCCAGCTCTCCCTCCCTCCCAGCCCCAGGAGTCATCCTGGCCTTTGTGAGTGGCTGGCTACAAGCATCTCCTCTCTCTCACAGATCCTTAAGTGCCAGAACACCTTTGTCCCCCATTACCGAGCCTTTACATCTTCCTCTCATGCTGAATGCCTCCCATTTCTGTCCTTGGTCTTCTCTCCCAGCTGAAATGGCCCATTGACTGCTAGCCAGCTTAATGAACTGATGCGAAGCTACTTAAAACATCATTGGCAGCTTTGCTTTTTTTTCACCTAACTTTCTCTGCCATATATGAAAATCTCTAGTCTCCTCCCTTGGACAAGTCCCCTCTTTTCATCTTGACTTCGCACCTTTGCTCTGTAACTTACACCTCTTTAGGAGTCCTCTGATACTAGTTTTGGAGGACACTCCACAAGATGCACTGAATTGTGCTGCAAGGCATTTAAATGCTCTAGGTTGCCATGTTGCCATGATAAAGTTTATGCATCAGGGCAATCTCAGCATGCTCCCCTAATACAAAGTGTAATGCTAACAAGAATCTGTAAATGCAGAGACCAATATGTTTTAGTGGAAATAGGTCAACAGGGCAGAAATATGACAAAAAGGACTAAACACAGCACTGAGGAATGGCATGCTGCCTCCTAACACCTCCAGTCACTGCGTCCTAAGAATGGTTATGCATTTCATATTTGACCATAGTCATTTTTTGAAGGATGGATGAATAAATCAGGGACACAAATACCCTCCCAGGCTACACAGCAGAGCCTTTTCTCTAGCTCACCCTCCCCAGCACAACAGAGACAGCAGATATGCATCAGATGCCCTCTGGGGTGCCTTTCTGCTGGCAGAGAATTGCCAGCTTTGCAAATTAGCCTCAAAAGGGAAAAAGGTGTCTCCAAACTTGTCCCTCAGAAGCCTTTCCTCATTTCCTCTACAATGCTTCTTCAACCACCACTTCATTATTCCTCTGACCAGTGATCCCCGCTGAAGTACTTGCACTGCCGAACAATGCACATTCCCTGGAGACTCTTTCTTTGCAAAAATCTCTCTAATCTTCACATGTCTTCAATTTCCTCAGAGCAAGGAAAAAAAGAAAAGGTGGGTGAAAAATCACCAATTTTGTCTTTCTCTCCCCGTGGACTTTTACTCTCCCCTCCTCTCTACAATTTCTCCTCCCTCCCTGGTTCTCCCATTATCTCTCCATCATCTTCCTGACCCAGGGAAAAGCCAAGCTAGGGTTAAGCACAGCTTAATCTGCAGCTGCTGGTGCAGACAGTCACACTGGCTGATGGCTTTCAACCATCTCTCCCAGCACTTGCTCCATCCTGCTCCCAGTTGCACTGGTTGCGAGTTCTCAGCTGGCCACCCATAGCCATCTGTGGGTGCAGGTGGGTACTGTGAGCTGAGCCAGCTTCTCATCACGCTGTCCCAGTGCTCCAGCCAACAGCTTGCATGGCCCATGTCCAGCACTGCCTGCTGGGCATATCAACAGAGCAAGCCTTGTTTTGCTCATCTCTGGTTTTGAAGCGATACCACAATGCACAGATGCATGATGGAGAACACAGAGGGGATGGAGCACCTTTGCACCAGTTGAGATACCCAGATAATCCTGTTTCTCAGAAGATGCAGAACAACACAAACCTTTCCATCTCCAAGTTTGCACTCTGCAAACTCTTTTAATGACACAGACAGAAACTATCATAGAGCTACACTTGACAGAGAAGCCAAGTGGCCTTCAAGAAGGTACCCATCTCCCACCCTTGCATGCTCTCTCACAAGCAGGGCTCATGCTATGGCACACACAGCCTTCTGCTCCCCACCATGGCACACACAATCTTCTGCTCCACATCAGGCAGGCAATAAAACAATCACTCACTTGGCTCAGGTGTTACCAGCTGCTGGATGTTTCCCTGCTTGAGCCATCTCTTGCCTAGCTTTAAGTCTGGTCTAAACCGCCAAAGCATTCCTAGATGGAAACTAAGGACCTCATTTCCATGCCCTTGTTTGAGAAGGGAGCCCATGCTCTGGTTTCTGCTAAACAGAGGCTTACCTATCCTCCACTTTCTTCCCCATCCAGACAAGGATGTGGCATGTTCACAGAGAACCTGGCAATCCAGGTCCATTGGATGGAGCAGGCAAAGCTAAGGAACAAATGGGTCTTTCATCAAGCGAAGAAGGAGTTCTGCTTTCAAGTGCTGGGAAAGCAAAGATGGCCTTAAGAAAAGCAGGGCAGGGAGCAGAAAACGAAAGTGAGGCTGCCTAGGAGGTAGCATCCACCAGAAATGGACACCCTGTAGGAAGGCAGGGTCCAATTCTACCTCTCTGCTACCACTGCAAACCTGCAGAGCCAAACACAGCACAAGGAGGGAGCAGGAGAGAGACCCAGGGTAGGAAGCAGAGATAGGGTAAAAATTAAATGATGGGAAGGGAAAGGCTGAGCAGGAAAAGGGAGCACAGACAGAAGAAAACCAAAGCAGATAATGTTTTTTAATACTCAAAAAGGCAGAGGAACGGTGAGAACAAAAAGGCTTTAGGACAGCAATATGAATACATTTCTGGCAGACTTGCTGCTTTCACCTGGCAAGGAGCAGGCTTGCTCAGAACATATAAGCCCAGCTTTTTGTTATGACACAGATAGAAGGAGAACTTTCCCATTCCTTTGTCTATGCATGAGTACAGGGACAGCAGCAACTGCTACATACACCACATTTGGCCAGGAGACCAGGAAGGCAGGGATCAATCCGGTGCTGGGTTAAGGGCAACGGGATGGATCATAGTAGCCCATTCCGAGCATTTTTCCAGACTCATTGAGGAATGGGTGGTAGCATGGCATCGTTTTGGAGAAACATGGCTATAACGAGGGGTTTTATAGACGGGGGCCATAATGTTTAATTGCCCTCGGCCAACACTCTCACAGCTTAAAAAGGCCATTAAAAATACTGGCTCAAAGCCAGGGAGGAAAAAAAAAAAAGAAAAAAGAAAAAAGACATTGATGTCTCCTCCTTCCTCCCACCCCTTTGGCCTTTGAGCATCATTCAGATCCTTAGGAGGGAGAAATGCAGCTATTGCCCAGCTGTAGCCAAGAGCTACCTGTCAGCCAAGGGAAGCCGATGCCCCCACACAGGAGAATTTTCCCACACATCTCTGCATGAAGAGCCATTTGTGTCAGGGAGCTGCATCCTCAAAAGGCACAGGGCTTGCTAAGCTGCTGAACGTGGAGCGGGTGACTTTCATGAGATGTGAAAGGGGAACCCATCACACACCTTGTGCTGGATAATTTATTAATCAAAATGTGCTCTGTCAGGGCTCTTTGGCACTGAAATAGATGCTGTTGGATGTGGTTCATAGAGTCAGCAACAGACACAGTTATTACCGTATAAATAGTCCATCAGCTGCCATGACCACCTCGCTGCTCTTCACCTTGAGTTTTTGCCCCTGCATAATAAGCAGGGAAGCATGCCAGGGCAGATACATTGCCCCATGCTTAAATTCAAA